CACAATCTCGATTTATGAGAATCTACCACCACTACATATCATCAGATATGTGTCTTCCTTGTTATACTCCAGACCGTGTTCACTTCACCAATCGCAGTTCCTCAATTGAATATGATCTGACCATGAAACAAGCAACTCATGGGATTCCCGATCAACTTCGACCTATTATTATCCCACGTATTTTTACTGAAAAGTACCAACAAGTCAATTGCATGAAAAGATATTTTACAGACGGGTCCCGTCTCAATGGATCCACTGGCTTCGGTGTCTTCAATGAAAACTCTAGCGCCTTCCGCAAACTTCAGGAACCTTGTTCCGTTTTTGTTGCTGAGCTGGCAGCAATCAACTTCGCATTGGGGATGATTTCCAATATGCCCACAGACCATTACTTCATCTTCTCGGATAGTCTCAGTTCGATTGAGGCTATTCGGTCGATGAAACAAGGTAGGCACTCATCTTATTTCCTTTCAAAGGTAAGGGAGCAGATGTGTGTGCTGGTCGAAAGATCATATATGATTACCTTTGTATGGGTCCCCTCACATTGCTCAATCCCAGGCAATGAGAAGGCGGACTCTCTCGCAAAGGTGGGCGCGCAGGAAGGCGAATTGTATGACAGGCAAATTTCACACGATGAATTTTACCATTTAGTGCGTCAGAGTACCTTTTCGAGTTGGCAAACCGATTGGGACACTGGAAATCTTGGACGGTGGTTACATTCAATTATTCCTAATGTTTCTTCGAGAGCGTGGTTTAAAGGCTTGGGCTTAAGTCGTGACTTCATTCGCGTGATGAGTAGACTTATGTCCAACCACTACTCGCTAGATGCTCATCTCAATAGAATAAACCTCGTGGACAGCAACATCTGTCGGTGTGGAAACGGTTACGATGACATCGAACACGCAGTTTGGCAATGTACGGATAATGACGCCGCCAGAGAGCGACTTTTGAATACCCTCGAGGCCCAAGGAAGACAACCCTATGTTCCTATCAGAGACGTGTTGGCAACCCGTGATCTCTGCTATATGCAGTCCGTTTATGTTTTTCTTCAAATGTCTAGTATAAGAATTTAATTCCTTTTGTCTTTTGTCTCTCTTTATTAGTTTTTGTTTGTCTTGTCCCCCCGTCTCGATGAGTCTCATCGTCGCCCACTGGTCACCCACCATAGCCGGTCGAACTCCGGACGAAGCTAGAACAGCACTACCGTTCATACTGGCGACAACGCTCTGATGAGACAACGAAACCCTACCCCAAGCTCCTCCCCTGATCCTATCCTTCGAAAATGTACCCTTCTAACCTCGAGTAGGCCGCGAGTAATCGGCCCAACTCCTACTAGACATAGAATTAAGTGAATTTTGTTACACACAGTGAACAATGAATTATCGGCTCCGTAAAGCTAACGCGATTGAGCCTCCCAAATAAACGAACTAGATAAAAAAAAAAATAATTTCCTCTTCCATCATATGAAGCACACTGCATGCTTATAAACATACAAACATTAAAAGAGCATCGTGAATATGCAACACGCTTACTTGAAAGTACCCATTAATGAGTAAAAAAGACCCATTTTGAAGAAAAGTGGCTTAACTCATTAATGATTGAACAATTTTACCCATTAATGAGTATCTGTTACCCATTAATGATTAACAATTACTCATTAATGGGTAACAGATACTCATTAATGGGTAAAATTGTTTAATCATTAATGAGTTAAGCCACTTTTCTTCAAAATGGGTCTTTTTCAACCATTAATGGGTACTTTCAAGTTAGCGTGAATGGTTTCATTTGTAAACGATATCGTTTCGCAGCGCATTGACTCCACAGAAATTTTATCCACATTAAATTTCCATGCACCTAATCGGCAACTCCGAAATCGAAAAGTAAGTGCCATAAAACATCATCGCACAAATTATGCAAAATATGGGCCATTAAACCGCATGATGGCCTCTTACAATCAATACTGCGAAACCATTGACTTTACAATGTCTAGGCATAAACTAAAACAATATTTTTACTCCATAAGGCATTATAACTCATAGAAAATAGGAAAGCTGACACTGCTTAATTGTTATTAAAGACAAAATTATACTTTTAACCTCTTTTCCAAAGTTGACGAAATAAATAAATAAATAAATTTAAGAAAACAAAACTGTATTCGAATATGAACTAGTCTACGTTGGTTGACGAAATAAATAAATAAATAAATACGATGATAGACTATGACTGACGGACTTTACAGCATACATACGCCAGGAGACGGCTTCAGTAAGTAAAGATCTTCAAAAGCAAATTGATCACTGTGGAATACATACCCGGAGGATGTTTTCGACTATGCATTTTTTGACAACTCTCAAAGAAATCAAATTTATCATATCGGTGGATATATTCTACGGAGCGTTGCCATGAACTACACCGTTTATGAAGCTTGTTTTCGCCATGTTTATAAAGCAGTGCTATCTTAAAATCATATTCTTGAAGTTTACTATACTGAAGGATTATACTGGCGAAGCATTGCTGTATATCAACGATGATGTCTACGTTTTTTTCGTTGTTTTGGAAAGAATATTCCGTGACGAGACAATATATAACTTACCATCACATCCAATAATAACGTTGCTGCCAAATTGAGTTATCTTATGAAAACATTCAGAAAAATTATTGAGCGTTTCCTTACACTGATAAAATTGCAAAGATTGTTTTTATGTGTCCCACACATGAATTTTTGTAATGTGATCAACAAATAATATCTATGTGTCGGACACATACTTAATATGTGTACACATTAAAGCCATGTGTAACCACACATACTATTCATTTGACTCATAAATTTCAAGTGTGCTTCTATGTGGATTCTGTTTATGTGTGGTCACATGAAAATCATGTGGAGTTTCACATAGAAAATTCATCAATAAAAATGTGTGGAATTGTATTAGTGTATCCTTAAGCTGAGAATGCATGAGCCGTACAAAGTTCGATCAAATAACTCGCTCCATGACAGTATACATTTTGTCATATTTTACTGTTTTGCTTGCAGCGCAGTCATTTTTATTACCATAAAACCAAAATAAAACGTTTCGATTCGAAATTGTTTGTTATCGCTAACAAATATTTCGTGAAAATAATTAAACACTTTTTTTATCATTGAGAAAAATACTCCTTTCTGCTGAATTGAGCGAACAGTAATTTCCATTTACTTTGCTCGTTTGGTTCAGCGTTTGACGGTTTGTTTGTTTCTTCTTGCTTCAGTCTATGGCCACGTCTGGTTCATCTCTGTCATTTGTGAGTAACAATCAAAGGTTGAAAAGTATGTGTTTGACACATAAAACTTGTTTATTTCACTTTCAGAGTGTTGCAATCAGCGCTTTGATAATTCATGTGCGCTTACTCTGAATGAACAACGCTCACGAATCATACAATCGCTGATTGTAACTCTCTGAAATCGAAATTGAGAGATTTTATGTGTCAACACATACTTTTCAACTTCTTCTTGTAACTTACAGCATTATATCATTATAGCAGGTGGGACATATACTACGCATAAAAATGCCCGGTAGGACAGTCAAAACAATGTTCTACCCACTCTTTTATAAACAATTAAAGTAAAAACCCGAGTAAAAACCATTGGAAGAAGAAAATGAGTTCCACGGCAGAAAGCGGAAGCAAAGCTCAAGTTGCCTCCCAGGAAAACTAAGAACAACGCATAAATATTGTTTTTTTTTTTTATAAACATTTTATTATTTTTATTATTATTGAATTATTTAGTGTTTCTCTTCTCCGTAGAGCCCTTTTGGAAATTTAAGCCTTAATAAATGAAAAATAAGCCAAAATAAGTACTCTCCTATCTCAAGTTTTAATACTATCCCTGAATGATCTAAATCTTCTGAAGTCAACCCTAATAAAAATAACCATAAAAGAGAGCTATAGTTCGTTTATGGTATTTGTTTATCAGGGAATGGCACTCGTTCAATATTTCTAAAGCTTAAGGCTATTTACAAGGTTGTTTCTACTCAGTCGCTATAAAAATGGATTTAGAAGTTATTAAATCATTAGATGTTATCATGATATTTCGTTCTTGTAAGATACAAGAACAAAATATTTATAATATTAAATATTTTAAAATTGAAGAAAACTTATTTTTATAGCGAGGAGAGTCGAAGCAATCTTGGGTATTCATCTAGGTATTATTTATACTACATGCATATACACTTTTTTTTTCCTTTTTAGAGAGATTTTCAGCCTTGGGCTGGTTCATCTCTTAAAACATATACACTGAAGTGAAACAGTTCATTTCAATGTAAAGGATGTTTTATCGGTATATATAAAGTGAAATTAAAAAAAATCATCGAATATCATGTCTTCAGTTTTCTGGTATATGTTAGACAATGACATGAGCTAGCAAAAGAGACAAAGTCCAGCTGCCCTTAGCTGCCCTTTCGAGAATCCCACCCACCTAAAATAGAGGCAAAATATCATGTTTTTCGAGAATATTTCACTAAAACCACTTTAAATTCCACAAACAGTTCAATGAAAGTTTGCACCTAGTTTGTTTTCGTTGGAATAAATGCAGAAACCAGAGCAAACATATGAACATATACAAAAAAGTTAACAAATAATAATTTTGACATCATATTTTTCAATATACCCTATATCTCCGAAACTAAAGGTTATGGAAGTTTTATGCCTTCTGCAACTTTCCTTCATTTTGATAGATAAAAAACTTTGTTGAATACACCATACGTCTAGGATGCTTTATTCAAAAGTTAGATTCACGCGCCATCTCTACGACCAAGTTGCGAACTAATTAATTCATTCAGAAGAAGCGCTTAACTAATACAAACAACTTTACCGAAGACAGTATTCTGATTGGATGCTTTGTTCAAAAGTTATTAATTTTTTCCGAGAAAATCACTGATCTGCCCCAGTGCGCGCCGGGTTCTTCCCCTTTATATAGTATAAATACCCAAGGTTGCTTCGACTCACTTCGATATAAAAATGTTTGCACCTTAATCTAATAATCCTTTGTGCACAAATATTGGAAGATATCTTTTAATTATATGGGTATACTTGGGGTGCTGAAACAAAGCAGTTTTGATTTTCTTCAATTTTTCAATATCAGATAAATCCACTCCATCTTGGATATCTTTTTGTAAATCAGCAAGCTCTGACATAGGTACCAGCATGTGCGGGAGAAGTGTGAACGACCAAAATGGTTCTGAAAAAAAAAAGAAATTTAAATATATTTTTAGATAGACCCACCATCCTCCGGCTTTTGACAACTCACCCAAATGACCACATTTCAAAAGTTCCACATGCAGATCGATCAATGATGGTATTTGCTTTAGATATTCCAATTTGGTTAGTACTGATACGAGCTCATCATGATAGAATTTAATCAACTCGTCTCGATGGTTATCCCTTGTATCAACAGAGAACGCTGTGTAGAGTGAGTAGATTATGTCAATCGCTGGAGTGCCCCAGGTACAGATCTGGTAGTCGAGCTGTGAATTAGATATATTTGGGATTACCATGTTTTTAACAGTTGAGCTTACGTACCAATAACATATCGTTTGTATTTCCATCAAATGTATTGAACATCATATTTTTGAAATGAAAATCACCGTGGTTGAAGACGTTGAACGGGTTCGAGTCTTTGGGAGTATAGATATCCAGGATCCTCTTGGCGAATGATTTTTTGAATTTTTCCAGATGTTCACTGTAGACTCCACATCCAGGCCAACTGTGAGACAATCTGGCTAACAGAGCGATACAGGCCGTCCATTTTGCATTGGCGAACTCTGTCATGACCAACATACCTTTATTCGGTGCTTTGATGGCTGGTACCTGTAACTTGTTTGTAAAATTCAAAACAGAAAATGCAGAATTGATTGAAGTTATACCGTATCGGCGAGAAACATTGACGCCGCATGCCATCGAGCCAATTTAGTGTACGCGATTTTTGCTTCATGAAAGTTTAACTGGCCGGGTTTTATGGTATAGTCCCGTTTGACTAGGTCGTCGAACACCATTACCAACGATGGATCCTTGGAAGAGTGTAGAAGTCTGGATGGGTGAACATTTGCAAAATAAGTTAGGCATAGGTATAGACTGAAAATGCATAGCTTATTAAATATTGTAATCCATAGAATACAACTGATATGCATAGAAGACCTTTATTCGACTTTTATTTGCGTTACGTGCATTCATGTAGTTTACATTACGTTTTTAGTTTTGTTTGAAATTTGTTGACTCTTTTTTAGCCGAGCCAATAGGCCTACCAAAAGATGATGTAAGGACGTTAAAATTTCGTCCTTTCAGTGAAATCGGATCGGATTTTGAGTTGCATATTTTATCACTTCCACACAATTGTATAATTTAACCTTCCTAATGCATTAGGAAAAAGTTACACATTGTGCATAAGGGTCAAAAAAGACCCAAATTGCAACTCACTCCCAAAAATCCATTTTTGAACCGATTCTTGATCTAGTGGCCTCAAAAGAAAGTTGAAGGATTCTTAAATGGCATCCTTTCCAGGATTTTTACAATTTGGCTATTTAGGCTACCTGGCACCGGTTCCGATAGGGCACAAAAGGACATTTCCAAAAACTCATGTACTGGTACCGTCCGACGGCTCAAAATTTATGATTTTTCATCTAGAAGTAAAACATCATGTCATGGACCAAAAGGTGAATATGGCCACATCAGGATACCCAGAACCGGTTCCGGCAGGGCCCCAAAAAGGACAATTCCAAAACCTCATGTACTGGTACCGTCCGACGGCTCAAAATGTACACTGAAACAAAGACCATAGTTAGGAATACTATTTTGCAGAAAACACTTATTTTCAGTATAACTGTGCTTAATGCCGTTAAATCTACCATGATTTCAGTATAGCTGACTATAAATATAAACAAATTTAATACCACTCTGTCTAAACTACTATGCTTACTCAAACGGCATAGTAGTTTTGATAGAAAAATAAGTAAAATTAAACGAATTTCGTTTCTGCACAAATCTATTGGTGCGAGTATTTAATTTAAACCATCAATATAGTAATTTTGCCAATGGATTTTGTTTCTGTGTATGATTTTTCATCCAGAAGTAAATAGACATCATGTCATGGACCAAAAGGTGAATATGGCGACATCCGGATACCCTGAACCGGTTACGGTATGGCTCAAAGAGGACTTTTCCTAAGCCTCATTTACTGGTATCGTCCGACAGTTCAAAATTTATGATGTTTCATCTAGAAGTAAATAGACATCATGCCAAGGACCAAAAGGTGGATCTGGTCACATCTGGATACCCAGAACCGGTTCCGGCAGGTTCCCAAAAAGGACAATTCCAAAACCTCATGTACTGGTACCGTCCGACGGCTCAAAATTTATGATTTTTCATCCAGAAGTAAATAGACATCATGTCATGGACCAAAAGGTGAATATGGTCACATCCAGATATGAACTGGTTCCGGTAGGGCTCAAAGAGGACTTTTCCTAAGCCTCATTTACTGGTATCATCCGACACTTCAAAATTTATGATGTTTCATCCAGAAGTAAATAGACATCATGCCATGGACCGAAAGGTGGATCTGGCCACATCTGGATACCCAGAACCGGTTCCGGCAGGGCCCCAAAAATGAAAATTCAAAACCCTCATGAACTGGTACCGTTCGACGGCTCAAAATTTATGATTTTTCATCCAGAAGTAAATAGACATCATACCATGGACCGAAAGGTGAATCTGGCAACATTCGGATACCCGGAACCAGATTCGAAAAATGTTTAAAAATATAGATTGAGATACATGTGTTTAATTCAAACTTATTTATTGTTGACATTTTGAATTTATATTTCAGTTTCAGTAATCACTGTTTCTTAGAAATTTGTACATGTTGGGCAAAATGTAAGGATATGAGATTTTGTTATCGGAGTTTTCGCAAAACTTACACCGTCCTCTTTTCTTTGCTGGAGATGAATCGCTCGTTGATCCACGCTGGGTGGAAGGTCCGGCAAAAAGTATAACACGTCTGTTTTGATGCTTCGAACTATATCAGCAAAAAAACTTAGTTCTTAGAATCCTCCGTCTCTGTTCTATTTGTTGGGACACTAATTATGTGCCCAATCTCTCTAGAAACAACCGTTTTCGATTGAGCCCACTATTCCAACCTGCAAAAATCTGGTTGTACAGAACAAAGGCGTTATTCAATGATAGATCGATACCGTTGCACACGCCCACAGTTTTCCAATTTTTGGTTGCACGTTTTACCGAATACGAGGCAATGCGGCGATCTACCGTATCAACTGCACCCTTGTTCTGGTTGTAGAACTTTATGATCTCTGGTTTCTTTTTGTCTGTGGAGTCAACTGCTTGGTTATGGTGGATGGTACTTAGCAGGATCACGTTTTTCCCCTTTTTTGGTATGTAGGAAACTAAGGTGGCATCTTGGGTATCAGCGAAGAGGGATGAATATATTTCTCGTCCTTTGGTAACCAACAAGACAGGGGGATGCAAGTTTTGTTCTTTCTTAGGGTGCCGACCATACCCATGTTGTTTTTCAAAAGGTTCTTGGCCACTTGCAAAGAAGTGAACCAATTGTCCATAGTACCGGTTCGTCCATCATAAGCTCGGTTTAGTAGCAGATCCTCGGTAACACGTTGTCCCTGATTTATTTCCTTTTTCCATCTTTTCGCTTGCCCATGTACAATTGGGAATGGAGAACATATCCGGTAAGACTGCAGCAAGAGTTGAAAAATTTCAATCCATATTTGGCGGGTTTGTTTGGCATATATTGTCGACAAAAAACCCTTCCGCGGAATGAAACAAGCTGCTCGTCGATAGTAATATTCTCATGCGGTGTGAAGAGTAGCGCTTGTTGACCATTCCATAGATCCCAAAATTCTCTAATAGCGGTTCCCTTCTCGCTAGATCGTTCAGCTTTGTCATCAGATCGGATCATAGCGAAAATGTCTTTGAATCTGTGAGCTGACATCGTTGCCCGGAATATCGGTCGTCCAAGCATCTCATGCCATAATGTCTTAACTAGCTCTGTTAATCCCGCCACATCTAGTGGCCCGACAAGCCCCAACGACCCCACTGATGCTAACGCTTACGATCAAACGCGTCCACACCCAGGCCGTGGACAGGAGATCGCCAAGCGTGTGGAAGGTCAGCAAAAAGGGCAACGTCGATCGATACGATCGACCGTTCTAAAACAAAACAGCCCTTGAAGAAAGTGCTCAGCCGGTTGCTTACCCTTTTTAAAAATTGCCTAATTCTATCGTTGAACCTAGTGTTAGACTACCTTAAAGCTATTTAATTGCTGCTACTAAACTGGATTAATAGTACTAGATTAGGTACTAGTGAAATTATTGAACTTTATCGAGTAATATGTGTAGAATTGAATAAGTGAAAACACAGAAGTTACCCTAAACTACGTTTGTTTACAGCTTATTGCTATTCTATTGGAAGTGCCGGTTAATCTAAACCTAAATTTTCTAATTAATTCATACCTTTCTAAACTTACCTAAGGTGAGAATACGCAGAAAACCTAGTGTACTTATAACTAAACATATACGTATACCTCTAATAGTTACCCAGATCGGAAGAATAGAAAGAAAAACAACTCATCCATCATTGCGGTAACGAATCGCCAAAAGTGAGTCTACCATAATTAAATGATTGTTCCCGACCTAAGCTTTACCAATCTTCTCAGGAAATTTATAATCTTTTCCACTCGTTTGCCGGAATAAAATTAACAAAAGCTACGGATTCGTTTATGGCCCAACAGGCTCCTTGTTTGAGCAAACCCAGAAAAGCATTGAACTCCACCGCATCTCTGATTTTCCACTTTTCTCTACATTTTTCAAAACCCTTTTCGTTAGTGTGGCTGATGACGAGAGTGATGAGACTATCATCGAAAGAAGCTTTAAAAGCTTGAACTTCATTGTTCACATGAGCAGTTGCGTAGCTCGTTACTCCTGGGAGAGTTCGTAAAATCTCATAAGACCGCTTCCGTCTAACTTTGGAATCCGGCTTCACAATATTTTGTTCCCATCGAGTTCCGTCTTTAGACGTCCACGAGGAATCTTCTTCATCACTTATGGATAATTCGTCATCAGAATCCGAAATTTTTTCAATTGAATCATTTTCAGGTTCAGAATCAACTATTTCGTCATCTGATGAACGAAAATCAAAATCTTCATTCATGATGAAATTTAACTGAAATAAAAGAAAAACAAGTCTCGTAGTAATAATGAGAATGTGTTTCGGATTGACTTTCGTTTTCACGGGTTTTCTGACATTACCCACTGGGACAAAGCCTGCTCATTACAGCTTGAAGCCTAAGAGACGAACCAACAAATAGCTAAAAGTCTCTATAATATTGAAAAAAAGCCTCGTATCGTAACGTATAAGAATAAGTTATAAAATGTGTTTTAATTATACCAATTATGTCCAGAGTGTTCCTGCAAGGTTGAGTTAAACAAAATCATTTTTTTTCTCACTTGTTTTTATTTTTTTTTTCATTTACAAAAATTGGTCATGTCTACGAAGAAAAGGCAACAGTTTGTTTCGGGATGATAAATTATAACATTTGTACCAAATTTGGGGGTGAACAACAAGATAATTTCAATAGTGAAGGCGTACACAGAACATGGTTGCGTTTTTATTGAAAATGATATTAGGAGTATCAGACTTACACACTTAAAAATTATTCTCGAGCTCGGCAATACATATTACCGAGCCAACACGGTATCATCATAATTAACTGAGAATTCAGCAAAAAAAACAGTTTAAGCCGAGATTCAGCACCACTGTAGACTGAAATCTCGGCTTGTTTCATATTTTTCCGAAATTCGGCAACACTGGATGCCGAGCGCAAACGTAAACAATGATTTCACTGATCTCGGTAATGTGATATGCCGAGATTTCGTTTTGGCAGCGCTTGTTTACCGACATTCGGCATTTCAGCTTTCATCCGCCATTTTCATAGCGCTAGTAAAAATTTGAGTGTTTGGAAGCTTTGTTAAAAACTGTGTATAGTGTATGTTGTATACAGGAAGAAC